AGTAGAAGAAGAAATACGATGAGCGAAGAAAAAAAAAAATGAATACATATTTAGGGTTACCCACCCGATCGTTCGGGGATCTTTATACGGTTACCAACGCGTACGTACAGAGCCCCCCAGGCCAAGCTTCGTTTCCGTGCGCACGGGTGTCCCCGACATGCACAGATCCTTGCATGGCCGTGTAGGTCCGCCGTACGGGCCCCGTGTTGGCCCAGCGCGGTGTTCAGAAAAAGATGCTAGCCTTTTATGTACTTTTTCTCCTCCCTCGTCATCTACCTTCTTCTTCCCCTCCCGCCATCTCCTTCTTCCCTCCCACTCCCTCCTACTCTCCCTCCTAATCCTGCCTGCTTCCTCTCCTACCATCTCCTTCATCCCTCCCACAACCTCCTACTTCCACTCCTGCCATCTCTCTCGTCACTCTCACCATCCTCCACGTCTCTCCCGCCACTTGGTTCCTGCTCTTCCACCATCCTCCACCTCCCTCCCACCACTTCGTTCCTGCTGTTCCACCATCTTCCACCTCTTTTCTATCGTCTTCCTCCTACCTCCCTTCCGCCATATCAAACCTCCATCCCGCCTTCTCCCACCTACCTCCCGTCGCCTCCCACTTCACCTCTCACCATTTACCACCTCCATCCTGCCGTCTCCCACCTGCTTCCCGCTACTTCCCACTTCCCCTTTTGGCATCTCCCACATCCTGCGCACCATCCTCAGCCTCCCTCCCGCCACATTGGTCGTCTTCTTCCACCATTTTCTTCCTCCCTCCTGCCGTCCTCCGTCTCGCTCCCATCATCACCACTTCTCTGCATGTGTGGAAAAGGTAGATTCGGGCACTTCTCTACATGCGCAGCAGCCCCCATCACCACTTTTTTTGTTTCCTACCTCGCACGGGTGACCGGTGCAGCCGTCAGGCCGTGCAGGCTGCACGGGGGCACAACTTTCCACCCCGGCCGGGTGACTTAGGAAGCCTAGAAAAAGTATAATTTTTTTTTGATGTGAGGTACGTGCCTACAAATTTTGAAGGCATTTTGCTAAGCCAAAAACAACGATAAATCGCCAAACATGACAGTGTCAAAACGTGCACCACCACTACCTTTTTTTTTTTTTTGTCTCTTTTCACGCTTTGTTTTCACTTTTTTTCGGGGCCTAAACAATTTGATATTTTTTTTACGAGTTTTGAATCATATGAGATACACATCTAGAGATTTTCAGGGCATTTGACTATGCCCCCCCCCAAAAAAAAGCCCTGCCAACGGTGGCGGTGTCTAAAACGTTCCCGCCTACACACTGATATTAATTCTCTTCATTTTTTTATATTTTTATTATCATTATTTATTTTTGTATTTTATCTTTATTTACAATTTGGTAACGAATTTCGGTATAACGCTGAGGCAAATGTTGTTCAGTTTATTTTTCTGCATAGCATATATATATATTTTTCAGTTCTCTTTTTTTCTTTTTTTTTCTGGTGGTGGTGGGGGGGGGTCCACGTTTGGTCCGAACGGTCAAACTTGTCTACACGGGGGCCCGAACATTAGGGCGTTCCATGATATCAGTACACTTAATAATGACGTGAACATGGGAATGCTGATGATCATGATCACCCAAGTCATCAAAATACGATGTTGCTCATAAGGATGATACAAAAGTCAGTTTTAAGAAACATACAAGTAATAAGCATGATACTGAAGATAGACCAATGCGCCTAGCTAAGTTGGTACACCCACTGGGCTTTCACTTTGTATGATAACTTTTTTCAAGAGGGGTTTCCCGCTTAGATGATGAGGTGCCAAACGACTCCGTCGATATGAACTCTTCCGAGTCATCAGCCCGTTATCCCCGGCGTACCTTTAATCCGTTGAGCGAGAGCCCTTTGACACGGGCCCCGCGGATCACCTATGATGGTAATAAATATGGTCGTGATATTATTATTCCAAGTATTTTGACTAAAATGCCAGTTATATACACTTTCATTTTTTGTTTGTTGTTCTTTTAGATGTTGTCAACGCATGAACAAAAGTTCAAAATACTGTTTGGCTTTTCAAGTCAATTCTCCACCATAGGTCGATCCATCCCAGTCCTCTCGTACTAGGGATGACTTCTCTCCGTTCTCTTCAAATCACCAACGGTAGACAGGAACCGAACTGTCTCCCGACGTTCGAATTGTTATGTTGGCCACTAGCCCGCTCGAGCCTGTTATGTATCTCTACATGCCACGGACTCTACCTTCAACTTGTGAACAATTGGCTATCATTCCATTGATTCCTTTTCATATAGGAAACTTGTATCTTTCTTTTACTAATTCAACTATTAAAATCTATCATATTTTGTTGAAAAACATCTCGTCTTTTTACTTGAGTATATGTAACCACGGGACGTAAGCAACTTAGGTTGCAACACGGAGGCCACATGAACACCACACAAAACAGCCTTCTTCATATTTCTCACTACGTCTGCAAAATATTTAATTCTGAACAACGGAACTGCATATAACACCTGGAGCGTGGTCCCAGAGCAGTCGGATAGGATTATAGCCGACCCAGTGTGACACTGCGTGGCAGCAGCACGGCAGGTTTATTATGAATTTTCGAGCAGAGAAACAGGAGAAAGGCACCCGCCAAAAAAGAAATAGAGACCTCACACCCGGAAATCACGGCCGAGTGCTTCCCAGCCATCGGATCACAAATTATCCTATGGCAGAGGCCACGACAGCAGTGAAAAGAACTGCCGCCGTTCCCTGGAAGAAATGAGACTTCTGTCAGACATTACCATGACGCCATCTAGACACTCCGTGATTGAAGGAGGGCCTCCCGCCAATGGGATGATTTCACGACGCCAAAAGAAATGTTGAAAATCCTCTATCCAGTGGGCCTATGGTCGATCCCACCATCTCTTGCGATCGGCCGTATCCCCATTACATAGAAAAAAAATTGGCGGGGAAACGTCCTTTGCACGAGCATGCCCAGTGCGTGTTCAGGACAGGAGAAGGGGAGCAAAGATCTTATTTCCTTCTTTTCTTTTCCAGGTAATTCATGTAAAGCAGCACTGACACTGGGATCGCAACTCACTGCACAGCAGGATTTGGGCCCCTCTACCCGTCGCTAGTGGGATCTCCCTCCTGGCAGCTCCAAGCTGTAAACGACAGCGGGAAGATGAAATAGTTCCATTTGTCAAGTGGTGGACAGCTGCCCAATGAAGGACACCATCTCAGATCCCGGGGCATTTACGACCCCCCAGCAGCCCACTTGGGTTTAATATAAGAAAAAAAAAAAGAGGAAAAAAAAGGAACATACACAGTTTGTTAGTCCAAGGGTGAAGACAAGTCCAAGGAACGACAATCAACTTCCCCAGAATAAGTGGGGCAGTGTTTCTGTTTAAAAAAAGAAAAAAAGAAAAGGCGAGAAACAAATTCAATCACTGTAGTTAACAAATTTACAAAATGTCCATCACAAATTCAATTGCAAAGAAGCAAGTGCATTGTCAATGTGTTCCTGCGCTTCAAAATCTGGTCCAGTGCCGTCCCGGGGTATTCACAATCACGGGCTTGAATCACCATGTAGAGGGGACGTTCGTTTTCCCTGTGCCTGTCATCTTCCCCCAAATAGAACACCCTGTCATTGCAGCTGGATTCGGGGGATTCGAGGCAACTTTCCCTGTGTTCGTCGATAACACCGATAATGACCAGACCTCCAAGGGACAAATGCAGAATAGGATGTCTTCCCTGTGCCGGTCATCTTCCCCCAAACATTCCATTCTTATTCAAGTGGGGACGATTACCGTTTGTTCTCAGGGACACATCACACTCCACAGCGCGCAAGGGACAAATTCAGTGTCAGCAACACAATTCAACAACCAAGGGCTGGAATATGTGGAACCAAGTCCGTTCCTGGGAACACATGCAATTCCCAAGGAACAAACTCAGGGCATGCTTGTGCCAGCTCGATTGAAGCTTGCATCTGGATGTAATTGCGGTCGCGTGCATCCAGTCGGGCCCATAAAAACGGTCAGATGTGTCCACTGAAGTCCTCGTGTGGAGCATTTCCACACGAATCTAGGGAACAAGTTGTGTAAGCCCGCGATCGCACCACCCTCCAAATGAAGAAGCCCACGCGCTTTCAGCGAACAACAATGTTCAAGCACAGGTGTTTCTTCTTCTGGAAACACACACACACAAAAAAAAAAAAGCACTCATACCTCACGTTCACGAACCCCCGTCCAACCGCGCTTCCCTCTGAACCGTGCGTGTGCGCAAGGTTTCGGGGAACCTTTCGGGTTTGGCATGCTCGACACACTTCCGGTATCCAGCAGCTATGCCGACATCGGACATTAGGGTCCCTCATCATGAATGAATTTGTCCTAGCCCAGCAGGTCCGCTGCCGATACCTCCCAGAGTGTGTACCTCCGAGCGTGCGTTAATCGTCGGCACACCCCCGGGGTGCAAAATCTGGTCCGTCTGGTTCAGTAGGGAGGCCTGCCTACTGGTTCAAAAGCAGTTAGCTTCTGCTGGCTGATAACAACCCAGAAAGAAGGAACTTGATTAACATTGATGATTTGAGGATTAAGGGGCTGAACCAAACCACTGCAACATTGTTAAGAGACGCCGGGCCCGGTTCCCGGCTTTTTTTTATATAGAAAATGAATTTCCCTAAAAAAAAAAATAAAAAAAAATTGGCCTGGCTCAGTTGGCACACCCCTAAACTGTTGAGATACAGACCAGGGGTGTTCAAACTCCACTGGAAGCAGAGGAGTTAAAAATACTAAAAAAATAAAATTATAAAATACAAGGACTTACGGAGCGCGTTTAGAGCGTTGGGAGAGTGTGTATACAAAATTACAAACATATGTTTTCAAGAATTTCACCATGAGGATGCTCATTGATGACACATGACAATCTGGCAGAGCTTTTGTCCCAAGTTCTCCCAACCAATACCGTTGTGCATGTGAGGCAGCTAGAACCGTTCCAAATCAGCCAGAGACCGAAGAAACAAAATCACAAGTAATCTCTATAGCTGATACGTGATAACCGAAGAAACGGAATCACAAGTAATCTCCGTAGCTGATACGCGATAACCGAAGAAACGAAATCACAAGTAATCTCCATAGCTGATACGTGATAACGAAGGCAGATATAGCCAATAGGCCATAGCACAGAGTCCATTGCTGATAAGGCAAAATAGACTAAATCCGGATAGCTGTGGCTCAATCGATACCCAGTTGCTGACAGGGAATTGCTCATTGGCAATTGCTGATAGCTGTGGCTATATGGTATATCATCAGCAGCTGATACCTGAGAACAGGGAGCAGATAGGTGATGGTCTGTATACCACCATTACTTTTGGTGATAGCTGATAGCCAATAGCTGCCTCCGGATGGCCAATAGCCAGTTGGTGTAAGCTGATAGCCAATTGCCGACTCCTAAGGGCAAACGGCCGGCCGATGATAGCTGACTGCTGATAGTGGATAGGCAGTTGGTGATGGCTGATAGCCAATAGCTGGCTCCTGATGGCCAATAGCCAGCTGGTGATGATAGCTGATAGACAATAGCTGGCTCCTGATGGCCAATAGCCAGCTGGTGATGATAGCTGATAGCCCAAAACCAATAGCTGCCTCCTGATAGCAGTTGGTGATAGATGGCTGCTGATAGCCGATACCCAGTTGGTGATAGCTGATAGAAAATAGCTTTTTTTTCCTGATGGCCAATAACCAGTTGATGATAGCAGATAGCCAATAGCTGACCCTTGATAGCCAATAGCCAGCTGGTGATAGCTTGCTGCTGATAGTTGACAGCCAGTTGACGATAGCCGATAGCCGATAGCTGGCTCCTGGTGGCCAATAGCCAGTTGGTGATAGCTGATAGCCAGTATAGCTGACTCCTGATGGCCAATAGCCAGTTGGTGATAGCTGATCACAAATAGCTGGCGCCTGATAACCAATAGCCAGTTGGTGATAGATGGATCCTGATAACCAATAGCCAGTTGGTGGCAACTGATAGCGAATAGCTGGCTCCTGACAGCTTGCTCAGGATATCCAATCACTGACGGGCATTGTTTCCACTGCCGACGACTGATCGTTCGCACGACCCAACGACCGATCACTACTGCTTGTTCACATGAGCTAACAACAGATCACTGCGGGTTTAACAATTTCACGTGAGCCAACAGCCGTCCGATACCAATACAGGAACCTCGTTGCCGTCCAGTCACGCACTGGAGTCTGCCGTGCGCTCATCGCCAATGGACAATCATTACAGAAACGAGTGCCGAGCACCAACATAGCCGTCCAACATCGGAAAGCCGCCAGTGATACTAGTCAACCATCGCTTTCTCATTGGGCTGGTTATCTCTACATCACATCCCTTACTTGAATAGCCGTCCAACATCCGAAAGCCGACCAGGTGACCTCGTCCAGCTGCTATATTTTTCCCCTGTCGTTATCCGTCAACAGCTGCTTGCCGCACAATCAACTTGAATAAAAGAGCTTCGCACGAAGTACCTCGCCAAACAAACAAAGAAACCAATTTGCACGGGCGAAATGACCCTTCTTTGCAAAATGCCCCTTCATGGCGAAATGACCCTTCATCGCGAAACGACTCTTCATGGCGAAATGACCCTTCATGGCGAAATGACCCTTCTTTTAAGGGATTTGAAGAACGCAGTATAGTACAGAAGCTACATACACGACAATAAAAGGTCTACTGTGGTTTTAAAATCCAGATTCCAGACCAATCCGAATGCACGAAATTCAGACCAATCTGGTCTGAATGCAGTGCAATGCGCGCTAATTATTAGTAAAATCAGCCCTGGCTGCCAACTCAATGGTCATATACTAATATGACATAACATACCCCAAAACAACCGATTCATCAGAAATACGACTTGGAAGTTGGAATTTAGAATCTTTTCTCGAGTATACGCGCGCATTGACAACAATTGTGCTCGCCTCCCCTTTTTTTAGTCCACTTATGGAAGAACCAACTCTGAAAAACCTATTTAACTGAGAGCTGGAAACCCGTAAAAAAAAAAAAAAAAAAAAAAAAAAAAACCGAGAAAAAAGAAGGAGAAGAATGCTGCATGGTAATGTGCGGCGGAGTAGGGGGGAAGTATGAACAAGAAAGTGGTCACGTTGACGACCGATGACTTGGTGAGCGGGCTTCTCCGTGTTAGACTCCCTCATCAAGCAAGTCTTTTTCTTATGCCCTCCTACGCCTAACCCCTAACCACCCCCTTGCCCCCCCCCCCCCCCCCTCCGCAAAAAAAAACACCACTCCTCATTCCTAATTAGGCAACCATATGTAATTGCCACCATGTCATGCTTTACATCTACTCGGCATCTAAACCACCATTTAGATCGAGTACAAAAACGACAAGAAATCACCTTTTTTAAAGTTCTTTTGTCTTCTCGTGGATATAAAAGTATCAGCCACCCAAACTGCTTTTATTTCCACTTAATCCAAACCACTTTCACTTCCGCTTAACTACTTTTATGTCCACTTCTGGTGTGGTATTGGGACAAGCGTTCCACAACAGGCAAGCATACAGGTTGAGAGAACAGAAACAAAAATTACACCAATAGGAGGGGGGGCTTTTACAAATTTGAAAGCAAGAGAAAATGGCAAATGCCTCACAGGGACCGAAAGAAAGAGAAAACGACAAACCACCTCTAACGGAAAAGCGAAGAAGAAGAAGAACTAATCTGAACGCCGAAAGGACCGAAAGTTTCGAAAGTTCTCAAAACTTATAATAGGCACGACTTCGCACACAAGGTTCTTCTTTTGCCCACCACCAAGATGTGACATGCATGATATAGGCAGCGTAGCAACGATGTAACGGACCCAAATGAGTGGTGCCACCGTGTGGCAATGATGCAATCAATGGACCCACCACGTGAGAGGTGTGACAGTGATCCAATGTACGAGGCGGACTCTGAATTTAAAATGGCTTCGAAAGAACCTTCCTCGCAGAAAAAATAAGTGTGACATTTTGGAAGGCATCAGCAAAATCCCTAACAAGGGTTCAGGGGCTATCTTAAGATTGGCTCGCAGAAGGACCTAACAAGAGCACTAAGGGTGGGATTTGGGAAAGGCCTCAGGCAAAACCTTAAACAAGGGTGCAGGGGATATCTTAACAAGGGCTGATGGAAGGAAGGACCTAGTGGGGAATTTTGCAAGGCCTTAGGCGAAACTTTAACAAGGGTTCGGCGGATGCCTCGCGGAAGGACCTAACAAAGATTTATAGACACTAGAATCAGGTTTGAAAGAGACCCCTTTACAAAGCACTGTAGAAAGAGATCAAGCGGCACCCTCAAGAACAACCCTAACAAAGGGTTGGTTCTAGTGGGCTAGGAAAAGACCGTAAGTGCATGATCTAGTGGGCTGTTGATCAAGTGGGCTGTTGATCTAGTGGGCTGTTGATCTAGTGGGCTGTTGAATACAAAGCTGCTTGGAACCGATTCCACCTGAGGTTCTACGAAAAGACCGTGAGTGCCTTGTCTAGCGGACAGGAGAATCGTGACTGGAGACAAAACGGTTCTTGAGCTTATCAACAGATCCCTTTCATAAGACACAAGGCGGACCCTAACAACAATTCCAAGCGATTTCACTGGCGGTTTGGGGTTTGGCGGTACAGGATATGACACATTGAAAGGGGTCAACGGTTTCCGTTTTATAAGACACAAGTCGGACCCTAACAACAGTTCCAAGGGACTCATTCAGTGGCGGTTTGGGGTTTGGGCACGGTATAATGACACAACGAAAGGGGTCGACAGTTCGGTGGGACTTAGGAAGGGTGAAAAAAGTGTTGTAGTAAAATCTGAAGGAGCGTGACAACAACGCCAGCGAGCAAGAGAAGGAGTGTGACAACAACGCCGGCGAGCAAGATGCAAACGCCAATTGCTATGTAGAGCTTAACGAAAGGACCACACCAAGGAGGAGATTTCAGAACCCACTGCACACGCCTAAGCGCCCGTGTGATTTTCTAAACTCCTCGACTTATTATTATTATTTTTTTTTACGTGCACGCAATTGCCATGTAGCTGAACTGTAGCACCCATAGCAACAACTTCAGGAGCGCATGAGCATTCGGAAGGCCGCCCTCGCCCCCCCCCATTTGTGTGTGTTGCTCCTGAGCACTTGTTTCTGAATTCCTGACGCATCTGGACTGATCTTGGCTAAGGGTTCATGCGGCTCAAGAACCACAATGTCGCCGTACCTGAATTGTTTCTGAACATTTACGTACCATTCCTATCCACTGTATCCAGTGAGCGCTTTCTTCCCTCGAAGGGCCAGATGCAAGGTCGGCCCCATCTTTCAGTAGCTGCGGACTTCAGTCACCCATGAGGGTTGAGAAGGAGTACATCCTATGATCTATGAGCCACTAAAAGGGGCCACTAAGAGGGGCCACTAAAAGGGGCCACTAAAAGGGGGGGCTGACCTTGCGTCTGGCCTAAGGACGGTCGACTTCCAAATTACTGCTGAAAGTTTGTGTGCGCATGCAAGTTGTGTAGCCCGTTAGCTTATGCACGTAATGAGCCTATCAATCACAAGAATCACAACAAGATACGTTCATACAAGCACACTACACAGTACAAAGCATGCAATCACCACTTGCTCTGATGATGTGGTGAACAGTTGCTGCGACAAGGCGGTCTGCAACCAAGATAAGAGAGTACACTGACCAGAGGACCTGCCTTTTCATGATGAGCAAAGAAAAGCACATGTGAGAAGCCGAGTAAAGCGCCCGGCCAACAAGACTTCCATATGCGCCATGCGGGGAACTGCAGCGTTCTCTGACAGACAGCATCTGAAAAAACAGTATCGAGTAGACCCGCCTGGTGTGGTAGGACAGCAATGGTTCTCCGTTCTCATATGTTGATGAGGAAGCATTTGCTCAAAACTCGACAGGATTTCGACGCTAAGGTAGCTGAAGACGCATTCAGTGTTAATCCTCCTTCAGTTGAGCAGTCGCTGCCTTCTTCTCCTGTCCACCTTCAGGAGGACAAGAATCAGGAGGAGGGACTGCACAAATACCTGAAGGAATTAAGAAGAGGAACAGAAGGGGAAGCAAGCAGCATGCCGACTGAATAGCTACTCCTAGCGCCAGGTTATCATACGATTCCTGAGTTCCACATGAGCAAATATCACACACACACACACACACACACACGTGAGTCGGTGAAAGTCTGACAAAAAAGTGGCACATTCATGAATAGCAAATATGACGAGAGAGAGAGAGAGAGAGAGAGAGAGAGAGAGAGAGAGAGAGAGAGAGAGAGAGAGAGAGAGAGAGAGAGAGAGAGAGAGAGAGAGAGAGAGAGAGAGAGAGAGAGAGAGAGAGAGAGAGAGAGAGAGAGAGAGGGAGGCTGCCTTGAGTCTAGATGCAACTGCAGTGCCACTGAGGGCATATTCACTCTCAGGCCTTCGGATCAGATAAGGCTGCAATTGTTGTCCGAAACAGGAAAGTCCTCTTGTGTCTATGCCACAAGTCTTCAATACACCCCAACCCCCCCCCCACCAAATTCGGAAAATTTTTCAAAAAAACAAAATGTCGTGTAGAATTGCAATACAAACGACTTTTGGCTGAGGGTCACATCAGAATTCGTCACAGAATTGGAGATAAAAAAGAGAATAACAGAATCACACTAAGGCACCCGGCTTCGAAGTTTAAACCCCCTTCAAAACCAATTTATACCCCCCTTGACAGGCACTACCTGAAGTGTCGGGAGGCTGGGCCCACCGTCGATAAAATCCATCAGCGGCATTGGTGCGTTACAGGCCTCCAAACTTCACGGGGCCTTTTCGGTGCCCGTCGTGCTGCAAGTAGTGGTCGTTTAAGGGGGTTATTCACTACGAACGGTCCAGAGAAGTCCAGAAGGTCCACCCTGACGACTGCACTAGTCTGGTGTCCGGATCCGGTGTAACCATGTTTTTTCTGTACAATACCAACAGGCCTAGCGCAGTTGGCACAGACATGAACTGTTGAAGTAGACCTGAGTTCGAGCCCCGCAAAACTCGATGAATGAAATAAAATAGTTCTGAATCGCCTGGCTCTCATAACACACTTATGCCTGCCTGCCCGGCTCACGCCTGCATTTCCCAACGCGAGCTAGGCAAAATCGGCGGGCCTCGCCCTCCCCCGCCCTCACTGAGCGGACCTTGGCACTCTGGCGGGCTTTTCTAGCCATCGTGTCGTGTACAATGTATCTTGCCGTAACTCCGACGTTACGAGTTGGGCCAGTGAGTTCGATGATCACACCAGTCAGTTCGATGATCCTATCTCAAGACCCACCCGCTTTTTTCTTTGGAATATTTCTTTGGAATATTTCTTTGGCCCCTCACAATCCAAGGACAAGAAAGAGGTTTCTTTGGCGTAAATGCCGCACCCTCAGGGTCGCAGCCAAAACCAAGTCCTTCTTGCCGTCTGCTGAATGTCATGGCATGCACAGGTAGCGCTATGCACAGGTCAAGCGTTTAAAAACTGAACAGTCCCATAACGTTAGATGCTCACAGATGCGGAGCCCACGTGGCTGAATGGCGGCGCACACACGTCACTAACACTGACAGATCATGGGTTCGAGGCCGCCTGACAGAAGCAGATGGATACACTAAGGTTAGGGGTTAACCCCCTTTCGCCTGGCAGAAGCAGATGGGTACCCTAAGGTTAGGTTAGGGGTTAACCCCCTTTCGCCTGGCAAAAGCAGATGGGTACACTAAGGTTAGGTTAGGGGTTACCCCCTTTCGCCTGGCAGAAGCAGATGGGTACACTAAGGTTAGGTTAGGGGTTAACCCCCTTTCGCCTGGCAGAAGCAGATGGGTACACTAAGGTTAGGTTAGGGGTTAACCNGAAGCAGATGGGTACACTAAGGTTAGGTTAGGGGTTAACCCCCTTTCGCCTGGCAGAAGCAGATGGGTACACTAAGGTTAGGTTAGGGGTTAACCTCCTTTCGCCTGGCAGAAGCAGATGGGTACACTAAGGTTAGGTTAGGGATTAACCCCCTTTCGCCTGGCAGAAGCAGATGGGTACACTAAGGTTAGGTTAGGGGCTACCGCCTTTTTAAAACACCTGCTCACAGAAGCGCACCCCCTGCACAGCAACTGCTTGAGTTCACTCTCAATTTCACAATCTTTACTACGTTCTTCCCCTGAATACAACATAATGACCGTACTTTGTATTCGAGGTATCTTTCAGTCTAGATACAGCTATACGCCGTACGGTCATTATAGCTGTATTTCAGGTATCTTTCAGTCTAGATACAGCGATAATGACCATACTTTGTATTCGGGGGAAGAAGGTAGCTAACATAACATACATAAGAATTGTTGTACATTCTCGAAGTCACAGCATTGCATAAGCCAAAAGTGCAGGGCATTAAAAAAAACAAAAAAACAAAAACAAAGTGCTGGGCTGAAGCAGAATAGGCTTACCAAAAAAAAAAAAAAAAAGAATAGGCTTACCGAGGAAATGTTGAGTCTTCCGGCAAGAGCGGCGCCCAGATACGCACCAATTGTGCCTCCGATGGTGCATATTGACGTGTAAACGGCAAAGAGGGAACCCTCTAGTCCCGGAGGACAGACGCGAGCAGAATATACAAAAAATGGCATCAATCTGGGACACAACAAGGAGCCAACCAAACCTTTGTCATGACTCGCTCCCATGGACCCATTGCAAGTTCTAGCCCTCGAAATTGGGCGATCGCCGATCGAACACACATCTAGAATGGTGGCTCTACATGTTACACACTCAAAGAATATTGACAGCGTCGATGTGGTGGCCTATCGCACTTGTTTCTGACAAAACGATCACGGGACGGTTTCTCCCTCCCTTCACATCCTAAACAACAGCGCTTTCCAGTCATGTCACTGCACTGACTGCAGTACTCGGTTTTTACACCCTTTTTTTCTTAACACAAGAAGTGAATAAGCATTCAATAACGCACAAGAATCCTAAAAATCAAGAGTCAGGCCCTGATGGGGTATAATTGCGAACACACGACTCACAAGGGTAAACCTGGGTAGAGAATACGGTCAGCTCATGGTACCCAATTTAGGGGAACCATACCCAATACCATAGCCGGGTCGATGCCACCGAAAAAGCACCCCGTACAAAGCCAAAAACTTCCCCACACATGACACGTTCCGACTCCGTAGTGTCCACACTGCAGCTGTTATTTAAGCCACACTCATTCGGTTCAGACTTGAGCCACACACATTCAGTTCAGACAACCGTTTAAGCCACCTGACGTTTTGGCGAGCCAAATATCGTCTTCGCCTGAATAGAATGCCTGTGTCGCCTGGAAAATATCTCTGTACCTAGACTGAAAGTTGCCCCGAATACAGCTATAACGACTGGGCGTTCCCTTCGGGTAAAAGGGGGTAGACCTGGCACTGTACCCAGTTTGCACAGCCTGGGCGGCCAAATGCTAGCCTGTGTGGTCCCCACTCCAAGAAAAAGGAGGCACACACATTCAGTTCAGACAACCATTTAAGCCACCTGACGTTTTGCCGAGCCAAAGACCGTCTTCACCTGAATAGAAGGCCTGCGTCGCCTGGAAAATATCTCTGTACCTAGACTGAAAGTTGCCCAAAATACAGCTATAACGACTGGGCGTTCCCTTCGGGTAAAGGCGGTAGACCTGGCACTGTACCCAGTTTGCGCAGCCTGGGCGGCCAAATGCTAGCCTGTGTGGTCACCACTCCAAGAAAAAGGAGGCCCTGCTGGGCGGCTGGCGGCGGCCTACCTTTCTCAGCCCCTAACAAATCCCTGAAGGGTACTTCACAAGATTCAGACGAATCGGTCACATGCAACAAAGAAGTTAAATGCTACCAAGCTCCTCTTGAGAGACTTGAATTCATCCTGAAGAAGACTTCTACGAAGACGAATGTGCAACTTGGAAAACTTTTATGACGTTGGGCCCGGTTGGGGACAGATCCGTGATTGACAAATTCTATGAGCTTAGAGAAAAAGTACTCAGCGTGGACTTTTACGACTTCTATGAATCTTCAATGCACAACTTTATGCAACGGAGACCTTTATGACTTGATCGATAAAAGACTATTAAAGTACTTCGAAGTTTCTAGACCATAGCAGACTTGATGGATAACGCAGACCAGCAGCTAGATGGTAAACTCAAATGGAGCAACCGAAAAACATAAGACTGGGAAGTGTTTGAAAAAAATAGGCTTAGGGGAGGCCCAAACGCGCCACATCTGCGTATATGTTTTGGAATTCGACGCCAAACACACCATGTTAATTTTCACAAGCTTATGCCTACAAACTTTATCGTCTACAAAGATGTAGACGTGGTCCAGCGTGGCCTGCCTCGTCTACAAAGGCCCCCAAGTCTGATGACAAGAAGAACCCTAATGTGTACTCCATTGTTCTAAGGGATGCCGCAGAAGCATCACACGAATGTTTTAGGTCCTCACTGGACTGGCAATAAGCCACATCTGTCTCAAGCTCAGACCATACCGTTGATCTGACACACACAGACAGGGAGAGAGAAAGAGGGGGGGGGGGGGAGAG